ATCAGCACCTCTAAACTTGGTCATGGATTGTCTGAGCCTGTTGAAGCTAACTTGCATTCGGTGTCCCCACGCAATGCCTCTTCTTAAGCTAAAACCAAGAAACGTGATCCCCGTCCGCCACCCTTCCTTTTGAGGGGAATCACTGATTTTAGGCAACTAATTTCCTTACTATATTCTGTGACCAATGGTTTTCGCCTCAAGACAACTGGTAAATCTTCCTGTAGGGTTACTGTGGATGACGGCAATGTTTACCGTGTAGTCCAGAAGCTTTTCAAGGATAATGGAATTCCTGTCAGCACTTTTCAGTTTAAAAATGAACGAGCCTTTCGAGTCGTCATCAAGGGACTTCACGCTTCCACTGAAATAGCCGAAATTACTGCAAAACTTAAAGCTTTGGGACACAACCCACGGAATGTATTCAACCCCCCTGGTGAAAATGGGAAGGCGAACCGGGATATATTCTTTGTGGAGCTGGAACCAGCTAAAAATAACAAAAATGTATATGATATCCAGATAATTGACTACCAGGTGGTTAAAGTGGAACCGCAGCTTCAGAGAAAGGGTCCTTTAAGGTGTTTCAGATGTCAAGAATTTGAACATTCTAAAAATTTTTGCTCACTCTTGCCAAAGTGTGCCAGATAGGCTGGTGACCATGAAACAAAAGACAAGGAGACAATCTATCAGGGTCAACGCAATGCGATGACTAATTACGGTATAAATATCGTTATTTGGAACGCCAACAACTTAGTTGGCAAATCACTCGAGATTGAGCACCTCCTCCAGGAACGCAACATTGACATTTTATTGATCTTTTATTGATTAGATCAATGACGACCTCCCGACGGCCATTAATTTTGCTGTGTACAAAGGCATCCCGTGCAACCACTTTAAAATCTCAGAGTGCCCGGGACTTTCCTCTGATCATATTCCGCTCCTCATATATTTTTGCGTGGCTGCCTATACGATCGTTACCAAATTCAGGCTTCTTCCCCGGGGCTCGGATCTTAAAAGATTCAGTGCGCAACTTACTGCTCTGACTCAGGAGCAACCTTCTCTTTTTTCTGTTGGCGACGTAGATTCCTTTGCTGAGGTCTTAGTTGAACAGATCCATCAAGCTGCCCCTCCTCCTAGAAGTATACCTATTCCGCCTCCATCTTGGGCTCATTCAAAGCCAGAAATTGCTGCCTTGGCCAGAAAGGGTCATTCACTATGCCGTGTCTGGATGAGGACGAGGCATACCATCGATATGGCAAGGTGGAAGGCTACTGTATCAGAGCTAAGGAAAGTCATCCGTTCGGCCAAGTCAGAATTTTTTATAGACAAGCTCAGTGCAATTGATCCTAACCAGAATCACGGTTTTGCACTCTGGAAATGCACCCGCAACCTTAAAAGACAGCCGCTTCAGAGGTTTCCCTTAAACGTGGTGATGGGACTTTGGCCCACAGTGATTCCGAGATTGCTGAAGTATTTGCTGATGATCTTGAAAATCGCTTTACTCCATTCGAATTTGCAACAAGCGAAGAAGTCCAGACAACAATCTCTAGGTTAGGACTTTCATTTGGCCCTCCTGTTACTGTCCGTCCAGTAGACGAAGATGAGGTACGTGGTCATATAAAGCGACTGGTTACTTCTAAAGCTCCTGGCATGGACGCGATTGATGGCAAAGTAGCAAAGGCTCTGCCTAGCTCTGTCATTGCACAGCTCTGTCTCCTCTTTAATGCTTGCCTGGACCTTGATTATTTTCCATCACCTTGGAAACGAGCATAAGTCACAATGGTGGCAAAAAAAGGAAAAGACCCATGTTGCCCGGAATCTTATAGGCCGATTAGTATGCTGTCCACTTTCTCCAAGATTTTTGAGCGGATCATGCTTGGTAGCCTTTGAAGACGCACTTCCGAACCACCAGTTTGGTTTCCGTAGTCGCCATAGAGCTATCGAGCAAGTGCACAGAGTAATTAACCATATCCTGGGGGCTTTCGAAGACCACAAATACTGCTCAGCCGTTTTTCTCGATGTTCGACAGGCCTTTGACAGGGTTTGGCACGAAGGACTGTTCTACAAGCTAATGCCGCTTTTGCCTGAAAGGCACTGGAATCTCATTGTATCGTTCTTAGATAATAGGGAGTTTGCTGAAGACATTCGTGGACACCGTTCTGGACTTCGCCCAATTCGTGCTGGTCTCCCGCAGGGAAGCGTACTTGGTCCGTGCAAACTTGCATTACAAAGGCTCTCAGGAGGATGCTAGGGGTGAAGTGGCACCATTATGTAGAAAACCGAGTTATGTTCCAGGACACGGGAGTGCCGACGGTAACGGAGACGATTTGCAAATCCTCAAGTCGATACAGGGAACGTTTGCTCACACATGCAAACTGTCTGGCAAGACATCTTGCAACACCACTGGGTCGACGGCGTCTCCGCAGACGACACCCGACAGACTTATGGATTCTCGGCCGTGACAGACACGGTCGTCTTCTGTAATAACACATCTTGATTAACTTTTGACCGGCTATGACCACACCTGATTTGCTCAAGAATGGAGCACCCGTTACCCGCTTTTTTTGGGATCTTTAGGAATAATTCGTCAATACACGAAAACAAGGTCCATCCTTGTGTGGCGTGTTCAACAAACTAAAAAATCACATTTCTCGAAAATTCCCTTTTCCTGTCAGCTCCTTTTTTGGGAAAGACAACAGAGTAAGAGAGAGGGATGAAATTTTTTCAGTGTTTCACGCAATCAGTTCAGCCGGCGTTGCCCTTAGCTCTGCCAGCGTCTCAGTCGTCATACTGATAAAAGGACGATGAATTTTAGCTGCGATTTCAGAACTGCTTAAGCCTCTTGTAATGATTTCAGAACTGCTTAAGCCGTTAGTAATGATAAATACAGGCTCACCTTTTTAAATAGTGTAGCTTATGGAAGAGGGGACTTATGAACGGGTTCTCTCATTGCAAACTTTAAAAGCAATACGATTTATGGTGTTTACTTCAAAATATTCCCATACTCCCATATTGATTAATCTTAAATTAAAAAGTCAATTTGAAGTTGCCTGCGAATTTAAAATAGGTTAAACAAAATGTTCAGATACTAATACTCTTCAAACAGAAAAACATTCCAGCTCGCCGTAAAGATCATTATATGTACATACATATTTCTGTCTTCTATAAAGAAGAATTTTCAGACCATAAGTATGGCAGAACAAGTCCTTGAGCAGTTAGAAACAATAACAAGAAAGGAAAGCTTACTTCGGGCGAAGTTGCTGAAGTTGATATATTTTGTAAATTATATTCTCCAAAATTATTCATATGCTGCATTTTTAATACTCATAAAAACTCCCAACTTCCTAACTTTAAAAACACCAAAGTTATGGCTTTTCCAATCGTTCAGTTATATGGCAGCTATAGGATATAGTCGGCCGGTCCTTATGAAATTTGGTAAGTTGAATTGATTGGCCAAAAATAAAACCTATAAAAAACCCCAACTTCCAAAGTTTACAAACACCAAAGTTATGGCATTTCCGATCAATCAGTTGTTTGGCGGCTATAAGATATAGTCGACCGATCCCGGCTTTCCGACTTATATACTGCGTGCAAAGGAACGAAGGGTGTGTGCAAAGTTTCAATTCGATATCTTTAAAACTCAGAGACTAGTTCGCGTAGAAACAGACAGATGGGCAGACGGACCTGCTTATATCAACTCAGGACGCGATCCTGATCAAGACTATAGGGTCAGAGATGTCCCCTTCTCTGCGTTGCACACTTTTGACCAAAATTATATTACCCACGGCAAAGAATAAAAATACTTCCAAAAGCTTTACTATTTTTTTTTGTTTTTTTTTAATTTGGTTTGTCAGACAACAAGATCTCGTTAAAAAAAATCGGTTTTTGTCGAGCGTCAATGTGAGAGAGAGCAAAAGCTTGGTTAAGCTCAGTAGTCAGATCGTAAAACTTTAATCTTTCCAGTGTGACCAAAATTTTGAGAGTTCATCAGAATTAAGCGTGCTACGGTCGTGCTGTTAATCAGCTGGGCTTGTTGCCAAGCAGTTAAAATTCAAATATCGTATTTGCAGGAAAAAGCCTTTAAAAGATATTATCAACTACCTTGGCAAGACAAGTCTGCCGCTGTACAAGGAAATTAAAAAACAATACAATTTAATTTAGTATTAATGTTATTTTTTCCTCACATGTAAACTCCTGCAATCGACTTTTGTGGGTTTTATGATTTTTTCACTAAATTTTTTAAAATGTTTAGTGCCAAAAGATTACATTTTGTATTCTTTTCGCTAGGGCTCACCCAAAGTTCTGGCTCTCTCTCATGACTGGCGTACAGTTTTCGGCGATAGGCAAACAACTTTTCATCAGACTTTTTTCACCTCGGTACTCAGATCGACAAAAAAATACAAGGAAATTACTTCGCGTTGCCAACCACCTGAAATGAACTTTTAGTGAACCGTAGCGAAAATAAGAAAACATTTAAAAAAATAGAGGGAAAAAATCAAAAAGCAAAAGTCGATTGCAGGAGTTTACATGTGAGGACAAAATAACATTAATACTATCTGTGGTGCCTCTAGTCAGAGCAAAGTGTTTCTTAGGTTAAAAATGTCCGAAAAAACACAATAAAAGTGCAGCAATGAATTACAAATTAGCAAATAATTATCGTAAATTAAAAAAACAACTGTTAAACTTAAATTGTATTGTTTTTTAATTTCTTTGTACAGCGGCAGACTTGTCTTGCCAAGGTAGTTGATGATATCTTTTAAAGGCTCTTTCCCGCAAATACGATTTTTTGAATTTTAACTGCTTGTCAACAAACCCAGCGTATTAACAGTACGACCGTAGCACGCTTAATTCTGATGAACTCCCAAAAATGCAGTCACACTGGAAAGATAAAAGTTTTTACGCTAGTTTTTCGATCTGAGTTCTAGGCTTTAATAAAAACAGGGTAAAAATTAGGTTTGGGATTTTTACGAATTGTGTATGATGAATCTTAAATGCGCATGCGTTTTGCGCATGGTTATTCATAAAATTTAATACGCATCTAAAAACATTAAGTGCAGTTTATGTATAATGTTTGACAGATAAACGCATTAAAAATGAAAATTTATTTGACATTACGTTTATTTCTTTGTGTTTGTAAGTATACAGAAAGGATTTATTTACAAAAATGTAATAATAACTTTCTTAGTAATTTTAAGGGAAGCTTGCCCTAAAAATGCAGAAGAAAAAGTGGCAATGTCCGACCACTACCTTTTAAGTGAAGAGTATATTGTAAAGATGAACAGGGCCCCAAGCAGAGGTCCTTATTTTGATACTTCAGCTACAAAAAATGTGACGTCTTTAGTTGGAAAAACAGGACATTTGAATTGTCGCATAAAAAATCTTGGAAATAAAACGGTACATTGCACTGAACTTAATAGATTTTGTGATTTCATGGGCCCAAAACTACGTTAATACATTGTGTATTATTCCAGGCGCAACTTTATCGTTTTAGAGTTTTCTAAAGTGTGCTAATTGTGTAAAAAGTTACTTGATATAAATAAAAACTCGTTTGTTGGCCTATATTAGGAATATATTTCGAAATTTTATAAGACATGTATATATGTATATATAAGACTAATATCTTAAAATGTTTTTAAGAATGTTTTGCCTACTTTTCTCAGCATTTATATTTAAATTAACAGTATTATTACTTTCAATTAAAGGCAATTAAAAAAAATTCACTCTATTAATACTTCAATAAGGCATTTGATGCAATAATACAATAATAATAGAACGTCATACCTAAACATATCACAAAATCTTTAACTTATTTTATTCGTACATAAAAATAGGTTTTAATAACAATATATTTTAAAATAGGTATCATGGATACGCCATAGAGACTTACACCTATTAACTGTTTCTGAAAGCACATATACTTCGGATCAGAGATTTACTTCAATTTACAACAAGCAAACTGGTGATTGGTCCTTACAGGTAGGCGATTTTATGAACAGCTTAAAGCCGGTGCCATATTTAAAAACTGATTGTGTTGGAAATATAACTAATGTGTGGCGTCCAGTTTAATCATTAACTTAATTAATTTCAAAAGATCAATAAAAATCAACACATAGAATTTTAGTTTAGGTCCCAATTAGATGAATTTGAGTTGGCAGCTTACGCCAATCAGGCAGGGCCGCCGAGAGCCACTCCGGGCCCCGGGACATGGGCCCTTTTACGATTCTTATTTGTTCCCCCCTCTCAACGGGCCTGCAAACAGCCTTTGGGCTGTCGTGTTTTGTGCCGCTATTTATAATATTGGTCAAAAGTGTGCAACGCAGTGAAGGAGACATCTCCGACCCTATAAAATATATATATTCTTGATGAGGATCACCTCCTGAGTTGATATAAGCATGTCCGTCTGTCCGTCTATCTGTCCGTCTGTCTGTTTCTACGCGAACTAGTCTCTCACTTTTAAAGATATCGAATTGAAACTTTTCACACACCCTTCTTTCCTTTGCACGCAGTATATATGTAAGTTGGAACGGCCGGGATTGGCCGACTTTATCCTATAGTTGCCATATAACTGATTGATCGGAAATGCCATAACTTTGGTGTTTGTAAAGTTAGGAAGTTGAGATTTTCATAAGGATCGGCCGACTATATCCTAGAGCCGCCATATAACTGATCGATCGGAAATGCCATAATGGTGTTTGTTAAGTAAGGAAGTTGGGATTTTCTATGGGTTTTAGTTTTGGCCGACATATCAAATTTCATAAGGATCGGCCGACTATATTCTATAGCTGCCATATAACTGAACGATTGGAAATGCCATAACTTTGGTGTTTTTATACCCGTTACTCGTAGAGTAAAAGGGTATATTGTATTCGTGCAAAAGTATGTAACAGCTAGAACGAAGCGTTTCCGACCCTATAAAGAATATATAATTCTTGTTCAGGATCACTAGCCGAGTCGAACTAGCCATGTCCGTCTGTCCGTCTGTCTGTCCGTCTGTCTGTCCGTATGAACGCTGAGATCTCGGAAACTATAAAAGCTAGAAGATTGGCATTTTGCATGCAGATTCTAGGAGTTCCTACGCAGCGCAAGTTTGTTTCAAAAAGGTGCCTCGCCCCCTTTAACTCCCACAATCGCTTAAATACGATTTTAAAAATTTAAATATTTCGGAAAAGTAAAAATGCAGTTTTATTGTGTTTATCAATACCTATCGAAATGTAGAAGAAATTTTTCAAATCGGACCATTCGTTAAAAAGTTATGCGTGATCAAAGTTTCTATCTCCATCTCCCTCGCACTCCCTTTACCTGAGTAACGGGTATCTGATAGTCGGGGCACCCGACTATAGCGTTCTCTCTTGTTAAAGTTAGGAAGTTGGGATTTTTATGAGTGTTAAGAATGCATCATATGAATAATTTTGGAGAATATAATTTACAGAATATTTTGCAAGGGTATTTCAACTTCGGCTCCGCCCGAAGTAGCTTTCTTTTCTTGTTATAACTAAAATTTCACAATTGTAGCTGTGTTCCGTGAAGTGTAACTTTTTTTCCGCGCCCTCCCGTGAGCAACTAAAACTGGTATGTTCTTCGTAAAAATATATAGATTAGGGCGTTAATAATTTCCTTTGCCCGTTTTTGCCCCTTTTCGAAAAAAATGACATGTTGCAGCCGAATATGAGGTTTCGCCGCTTAACATTGCTGAAGATTTGGGAGAGCAATGGACGCGACGCTTTTGCCTTAAAGAAGTGGATTTTAGAAAAATGTAATGTGAATGCAGTTAGCAAGTCACAAGTTAACGAAATCGAGGAAAAAGTTAACACATTTATTTCACACATCAAAAAATATTTGCCTAAATGCAACCGAATGTTGTCTAGGTTTAAGGTTCAGCACTCAGCATGGCTTTCGCAGACAATTATTATAACCATTGAGCAACAGCTTACGGATTCAGCTCCATCTAAAATGGGAAGGCCAAAACTAAGTTATGAACAGGCTGGAATACGTTTGAAACAAAAGTTAGCAAACGATCTTTCATCAGAAATAGATTCACTTATTACATGCGGCTTTTGTTTTAGCGAAGAGGACTAGATAGGACGATTTTAATGCATTAAAAGGTGTCAGAGAACAACAGAGAGCCAACTGGAACTTTGAAATCTCAGGTGATAATTCCACTTACCCCTGATGAAGCATTGTCATTTTTGTTGGAAAATGGACTTACTAACCAGCAGTATACCAACATTCATCATGTAAATAAAGTTCGCGGCTGCGACATTTTCCCCCCATATTCATCACTTCAACAAGTCAAAACAATTTGCAGACCATCTCAAACTTAAAATTCAAAAGTGGCACATTAAACAGGCTGACAAAATCGAATTTGTGTCTCAGAAAAAAGAAATTCGTGAAATGATGTGGACAAAAATGGGTCGACATATAAGCATTCCCAAACAAAATGGAAGTGGGAATAGTAATGATGGAAACACAGCTAGAAGAGCAGTTTTGGATTATGGAATGTTTTCAACAATTACAAGCTTTTTATACCCTTGCAGAGGGTATTATAATTTTGGTCAAAAGTGTGCAACGCAGTGAAGGAGACATCTCCGACCCTATAAAGTATATATATTCTTGATCAGGATCACCTCCTGAGTTGATATAGCCATGTCCGTCTGTCCGTCTGTCCGTCCGTCCGTCTGTCCGTCCGTCCGTCCGTCCGTCCGTCTGTCCGTCTGTCCGTCTGTCTGTCCGTCTGTCTGTTTCTACGCGAACTAGTCTCTCAGTTTTAAAGATATCGAATTGAAACTTTGCACACACCCTTCTTTCCTTTGCACGCAGTATATAAGTCGGAACGGCCGGGATCGGACGACTATATCCTATAGCTGTCATATAACTGAACGATCGTTAATGCCATAACTTTGGTGTTTGTAAAGTTAGGAAGTTGAGATTTTCTATAGGTTTTATATTTGGCCAATCAATCTGACCTATTAAATTTCATGAGAATCGGCCGACTATATCTTATAGCTGCCATATAACTGAACGATCGGAAATGCCATAACTTTGGTGTTTGTTAAGTTAGGAAGTTGGGATTTTCTATGGGTTTTATTTTTAGCCAATCAATCCAACCTATTAAATTTCATAAGGATCGGCCGACTATATTCTATAGCTGCCATATAACTGAACGATTGGAAATGCCATAACTTTGGTGTTTTTAAAGTTAGGAAGTTGGGATTTTTGATGAGTATTAAGAATGCATCATATGAATAATTTTGGAGAATATAATTTACAGAGTATTCTGCAAGGGTATATCAACTTCGGCTCCGCCCGAAGTTAGCTTTCCTTTCTTGTTCTACGTAATTTTAGTAACAATTTCATGCGAGCATTCTGTTGATGTTGATTCTGTTGAGGTTTTTTGTGAAAATACATTTCTGTTATACATTAACAGATATCCTTGGTATCCTATGTCACCGACGGTCCATAAAAAACTTGTTCATGCCTGGCAAATAATGAACTCCTCCTTAGTTTCGGTTCGATGTTTACGAGAAAATGCTTCAGAAGCAAGAAGTTATAAATCTTCTAAAACCTCTTTCTGTTCCGAACTGCAAAATAATTTCACAACTGGAAAATGTGGATTCGGACTCTGGCGACGATTCTGATGAAAATTTATATATTATATAATACTAGATGATGAAGAAAAAGAGACATATCTATAAATAAAATTTTACAACATAACCTTAAAAATCTTTGGTTTTTTTATTGGTTGTGGGAGAAGGGGTTGAAGGCGTAGCTTAATTAAAAAAATTCGAAATTCTACATTAACATTTTACATTCTTATGCCAAATTTTAAAATTAGACTTTATGCGTAAATTTCTGACTTTTTGCCCATTGTGCAATGCTAGACACCTTATCTATTTTCCAGAGGCAATGAAACACTATCTGAGATGGGACATATGCCAGGTATGAAGTGAGCGTCAAGATACAAATGTCTCGTTAGGGAACATTTGTTGTGAACGAGCCTTTATTTATTTTTTTGTTTGCTATGACATCTGTGAAACATATTTAGTATACATGAAGTCATTAAACAAACAACATCATATATTTTCATCGTGATAAAAATGGACTGGTCATAAGGGTGGGGGTCATCATTTTTTTTCAAACAAAATTTTGCAAATGATCATTTTTTTCTGTAAATGCCACTTTGTTAGAAATTTTGTAACGAATTCAACGAGGTATGCCATTGCAACATCGGGCCACTATTTCCAGGGTTTTGATTAAAAAACCGAAAAATCGATCTGATTTTATCCGGATTTTGGCCTTGTCATTAGGGTGAGTGTCATGATTTTTTTTCCATAAATTTTTCAAAATGATATTTTTTGTTCTGTAATTGCCAATTTTTTGTAAATTTTGTAACGAATTCAACGAGGTATGCCATTGCAACATCGGGCCACTATTTCCCAGGGTTTTGATTAAAAAGCCGAAAAATCGAGATAATTTTATCCGGATTTTGGCATTGTCATAAGGGAGGGGGTCATGATTTTTTTTCGAAAAAGTTTGTTAAATGTTATTTTTTTTGTAAATGCCACTTTGTTGGAAATTTTGTAAAGAATTCAACGAGGTATGCCATTCTAACATTCTACCACTATAATTTTTTCAAGTGATATTTATACCCTTGCAGAGGGTATTATAATTTTGGTCAAAAGTGTGCAACGCAGTGAAGGAGACATCTCCGACCCTATAAAGTATATATATTCTTGATCAGGATCACCTCCTGAGTTGATATAGCCATGTCCGTCTGTCCGTCTGTCTGTCCGTCTGTCTGTCCGTCTGTCTGTTTCTACACGAACTAGTCTCTCAGTTTTAAAGATATCGAATTGAAACTTTGCACACACCCTTCTTTCCTTTGCACGCAGTATATATGTCGGAACGGCCGGGATCGGCCGACTATATCCTATAGCTGCCATATAACTGATTGATCGGAAATGCCATAACTTTGGTGT